AAGGAAGTAGTAACAGATACTAGTAACCTACAAATGTCTCTGCACAGAAAAGGTGGCACAATATTCTATATGCTCCACTTTTACAATTGAACAAAAAAAAAAAAAGAGGAAAAACAAGCATCCAAGGCAATTATCTGCCATTTCCCTTGAACATTTTAGTCACACCTATAATCTACTAATGACTGGAAACAACACAATGACCCATTCAGGCAAGGGGCAGACACAGTGGTTGGTAAATGCTCCCACTGCCCTGCACCGCAGGCCGGAAAGGAGAATTTTCTCCAGCTGAAACCACTTTCACTGAAAGCTGTGAGAGAAGTTTAAAATCTTTCTAAAAGCAATAAATAAGCAAATAAAACACCAACAAATTCTGTGTTTTTACAGGACTTGTACATTTGCAGGGTTTGTTTTCTCCAGAGCTGAAATCTATCACACTCCATCTCTTGTCAAGGAAACAAAGACTTCCCTCTTACGCAAACCAGCAGGACAGTTCCAAAGAGCTCGCGCACGTACATACACACACCTGTCAGGGCTATTGTTCCACTGAATGGAACATCGACCGACAACAACGGCACCAAATGCCAATTCTCAGGCTTACAAATCACCAAAATCTCTGCCCTGCATTGTTTTCTGACAGAGATGAAAAAGCTCATGTGTACACAAACTTAACTCGTTCACTAATAATGCACTCAAACCCCAAACAAACATGCAAAGCATGCTTACAAAAGATTGATAAGGCTCACAACTGCGAATGCCCTGAACCTCCCCAGATTGCTAGACGGCAACCAGCGAGACAACAGGGAGACATAGCAAAAGGCAGAAAGACATTGATAGAGCTTCACGACAGATGAAGAGAGAGGGAGGGGGAGAGAGAAATTGCTTTGTTAGCAGGACAGGGAATAAAGTGGTAATTACCTCACTGTGGGTTTGTTGATTATAGTTCAGCCAGTTTCTCAATGTTAATCATTTACCAGGGGAAGACAGAGATTAGTAAAGACAGACACAGAGAGGGGAGATAGCAGACAGTGTAAGAAATATATTCACTCGCATGCACACGCACATATACAAACACATAATGGAGAATGGATGGACACAGACAGACTGCTGGATGAAGAAATTAAATTTTTTTAAAAAGGAAAGAAAAAGAAACTGGCTTGAAAGTGTAATCATTTCCCCGGAGAGGGCGTAATTACAAACGCTGCCTGCTCTCACTTTACTGTATGGAGCAGGTGAGTCTGCAGCTCACACACTTACAGATACTAGTGTGTGTGTGAAGATGTGGTATGCAGAATGTGATTTACTTTGGTATTTAAACTAGATCATTCGTGAGTGCACACAGAGGGAAATGATGCATAAACAGAGCAGAGATTACACGGGAGACTTATGAGGGCTGCTTTCAATAAAGATACAGAAAACCAATACAAATATTCATCTCCTCACGCGCCGTTTAAACATGCTTCACTGGTTTGGTGCTCACCCTCGGTATTTCACAGAGGGGGTGAGAGATAGAGGCGCACGGAAGGAGGGAGTTCAGAGGGGACTACTGCTTTTTTTAACGCTTTAAGGCCTGTGAACAACTTACACGTCGCTCAGGCAAAGAAATTGATATGAAAAATTGGTAATCTTACACTCATTAAGTCTCTAAATGTTGTAATGCTTCAATTTAAAAAATAATCTGCAACTATGAAGCAGAAGAAAGAGAAATTAGGAAACAAAAGATTGTTAAAAGAAGTTTGAAACAAGAATCTGGAGCTTAAATTCAGAGGAACTGTTGCAACAAGTTTGCCCCCTCCCTTTTTCCACACAAGGGGAGAGCCAAGAAGTCACAGAACACAGAAATGAAGGAGCCGATTTCAGGTTCAGGCATGGGTGGCATTTATTCTTGTTACTGATGTGCGAACAGCTCATATACAGATGGGGAAAAGCATCTCTCAAGCCCTATCTTGCTAAAGTAATTCAATGTGCAAAGTTTTGATGCTTTGAGTAAACTTCCTGACAGATTCCTGAGTGGCTTTATGAGGATGAATGCGGCAGAGGAAGCCAGCACAGCCGCATCAGCAAACAGGCCGGCCAAAGTGTTTGACCAAACAGCTTTAAAAGCACACCATGGCATACAAAAAGAGCCTAAATACACCGATAAAATAGCTTGAGCTACCTGCTCAGGAGAGAACTCAACTAAATTGTTTGCACACACTCGAGCTGTGAAAACTGTGGTTATGTAACTTTACTGACCTTTTACGGCTCCAGGAAGTACAAAATAATTTCTCATCTAATAAGGAAGTATTGCTCTGAAGGAGACGCAGATATAAAATAGAGCAAGATCGTAAACTCTGTTCATAAAAACATATCATAAAAGAGGGCAATCACTTGAGCCCCACAAAAAGTAATAGGCCAGGGTATCTGGTTCTACAACATTCAGGGCTGACCCCGCTGTCAGTCTATCACTTTCATTTCAGGGCTCCATTTTTCAATCCGGAGAGTGTTAAATGTGTGTCGGTTAAAGTGTTTCACTGAGCCTTTGTTACAAGCATATTAGCCAGCAAAGAACAGAGCAATGAGGCCCTTCAGTCTCCACTTCACTGCCCCCGCTTCATTAAAACCATAAATCTAGATGTCGTAGGAGAGGTGATGGTCACAGACTGCTCTCTGTCATCTGTGCTGAAAAGAGACCGTTGACTAACCAGCTGCAATTACAAAAACCTGCGTCCCTGTTATAATCCATGTGCAGGCAGAAATAACTCAACTTAAACATTTTCCGAGTGTCAGGAGGGAAGCTTTTAACAGAGATCATCACAGAGACTGTCTAACTAAAAGCAAGTACAAGGCCAAACAACAACAAAGGACTGGCATATCGGCTTAAAAAGCTGTGGTGTGAGCAGACACTTGTTCACTTACACACACAGCTGAAACAAAACTATTTCATTACCTTGTGTAATTCCCTTTCCTGTTAACATGGTGAAAGGAAATCCCAAACTCCTTCCTTCAGTGTCAGTATTTATCCTGTTGTGTTCTCCGTCAACTCTTAAAGTGAAAATAAAGCTGTGTAGCTGCTACAGAACATGCTCTCCCAGGTCACTTTGCACTGTTGTGTTGACCACAGAAGAGTACAGTGGCTTTATGGGGGCTATTTCAGTGGTAACTTTAGAGATGGAAGATGTAAAACGGAGTCAAAATGGGAAAAATGCAGGCTGTCAAACCACAGGAGATGATGCTACAAAAAGGAAAAGGAAAGGAAAATGCAAAGCTGGTGGATGTATTTCTGTAAAATGTGAAACGTGGGACACAAGTTTGATTTGTCAAAGATATTAAATCTAAAAACAACAACACAACATCCACAGGAAAGGGGTTTTATCTATACATTCATGCTAAACTGTAACCTATTAGAACACTATGGACACAAAAACGTAAGGGGTTATCTGTGGAAAGCATGTAATGCAGATTTGGGCCCTGCAGTGCTGCGTTAAGCCAACAAAAGCAAGGCTCCCCTGTGCCCGTGCTTCCCTTCTCTCTGCCTGGCTGCACCTACAGGCCCCGGAACAACGTGGTTGGCTGGCAGGCAGCTAATAGAAAATATGGTATGGGAAAATGACTGAAGCTCAACTAATCACACTGCCAATATCCATCACCGGGCAGGACGGAGTCGTGGGAGATTAAGGGGGTGAAGGAGGAGTGGGGAAAATACAGACAAAAAAAAAGATGAGATTGAGAGCAACGTGTGAGGAGGGAGGTAATGAAGAGTGAGAAAAGAGGTGAGGAGAAGGAGTGGGTGAGATTCGGGACATCACTGCTCCACTGATAGCTTTGTGATTGGGTGGTGTTGCTGATGGGAGCGATTCTCTGCCACAGTGGGTCACCCTCCACTCTGATGCTGATAGTGTCATGGAGACAGTGTGGCCCTCCACAAACTGCAAGCATTCATCCCTGAATCTCTGGGGAGCAGGAAGATGCTTCCTAATCTTCACGGCTGTGCTCTCGTAGCACATTTCCCTTGAATCCCCGTTGCAGGACAGGGTTTTGTGGCCGACCCCCATACAGGAGAAGCCCCTGCAGAGCAGACAAAGAAGCCTCTGGGGGAAAATAATAATCCCAGGCGCTCTATTTTGGCACCAACAAATGTAAAATACAAGACAAAGCACCTAGAAAAAGGTCATGGAGTGGACCATGTATTAAGCAAAAAGGTCATCTGAAAGAGTGTTTGGGGAATCGGATCTTAGGGTCTCTGGGTAAGCAGGAAAGAGACAGTGGTGGATGCCTCCTGGCCCTGGCCTGTCCCTGCAGGTTTCTCAACTCAAACCTTCAATTAGCCTGCCTGGAACACCTGGATCAGCAGGCCAGCCTCTCTCTGCCTTGCTAATGGCCCGATCAACCCATTACACACAGTTACAAACACACACACGTCCCCATTGCTCAACTAAATTCACTTATGCATAGAGGCGCTTAAGACTTTAATGTACACCCATGTCACCAGAATGACAGCAAAGGCATCATTCACAACCAAAAAACAAAAACATCATGCCTGGCTTTATAAAACAGTGAAAAACATGGTTGGATTGGGGTCATTAAGGTCCAGGAAAAAGTTGTTACCAGGAAACTGTCTCAAATGAACCCAGGGTTCAACTGTATCCACAGAGCTCCGGCTCCTTTATTCAAGATAAATACCAGCCTGATCGTTTTGGGGCATTTTGCAGCTTTTAAATAGGCTAATGAAGCCCCTCTCTACCCTTCATTAATTAGGCACACAAGGAGGTGCTCCACCGCATAGCTGAGATTCTTTAAACAAACTAAAGCCTGACTCATTAAGAAGGAGTTCAAGCCGTTGCGCAATAGTAAGACAAGGCGAGTTCAGACCGGCCGTGTTGGTTGTGTGCAAAAGGCCTCACATTTGACCAGTTGACTGTTAACACTGAGCCTGCCTTTGACCAGCAGGGCGAAGGAGCTCACACAGAATGGGATGACCCATGTCCAGGGGAGAGGCACCATTACGCGCAGAGTTTTCTCACCTTGCGTTTGTAGAATTCCAGTAAACCACGTGCCTTTTGGCCACAACAGCTGAGATGATGTTGAGGAGGAAAATCGTGGCTTTCAAAACAGCCGTGGCTCCCGGTGTCCGGGGGGAGCCCATCATAGCGCCGCGGAGCGTGTGCACGCGCCCGGGAGTGAGTCAGGTGAAGCAGACCTGAGCGGTGTGAGGGAAAAGTTCTCCTGAGGTGTCACCAGCTCATGCACCGACTCGGATTTCTACGTCATCTGGTTGCTGCTGATGCAGTTTGGCACGATGCATCAAGTCAAACTGACTGAGGTGGAAAAAAAAGGTTTAAGAGTCACAAACTGGGAGGTGAAAGGTGCGCTCCTTCACGGTGAAAAGCTCCGGAAAGTTTATCTACGCTCATCATGGTGGTTTAAAGCCGAGGTCTCTTCACAGCAAAGAAAAACACTTAAAAAAAAAAGGCACGTAAGCAGGAGTTTGAAGGTTCGGGGGTTAAGTACAGTAATCGGACAGATTAGGAATTGAGACTGCCAGCTGGTTTGGCAGCAACAGGCTGCGGGGGCGCGGCGCGCGGCCGGGGGCGGGGCTGGACAAACTTCTGCCCAATCAACCGACAAGGGTGTGGTTTTGTGTGACCCTAGTAAATAGCTCATTCCTAGTGAGGTGCGCCGACTGGTGTGTGGAGATCGTGTGTCACCAGTGTTTTCTGGCGGTCCTGGGACCCCCTGTGGGTTCCCCCCTTGACCTGAAATGAACCCCTTCCCCCCCACTCTTCTCACAGAGACGTGAAAAGTGGAAAAGACTAAACAAATTATAATATTTGTGACCTGTAGCCACTTCACCAGTATTTTCCCGGATGTGTTTGTATCCACTTTTTGTTTCTTTGTGATTTTTATAATTGTTGTTTTTATGTAAATATCTTTTTAAAATAATACTAATTATATATTGTGAGTCTTTATTTCTCTGTGCGTCCATTTGCGTATCCACAAATTACTAGTATGTGTTGATAGATTCTGAGTCATATTGGGAATCTTAAGAGCTGGAGTACAGGCTTCTGACTTCTTGATGTCCTTCTCCATTCCTCATTTTCATCTCTTTCTTGTCATTTGTGGTTAAATCGGTTCATTCTTAGTCACAGCTTTCAAGTGTAGTTTAAACATGCTGCTGTGGTGCTGTCTTGGTTCTTTAAGTGTTTTGTGGTATTAGTTGTTTTATCTTACTTTGGTCTGTTTTTCTCTATTGACATTTCCATTTTTTATTTTTCCATGGAACGAGGAACAACCTCTCCTTCAATAAATGGTGGCATCTGCACAGGCAGTCTGGTGATCACATTCACATCACATGGGAAAACACGAGTCTTGCAGATGGGCCTGCTACCTCAGTCTTTCTGGGCCCGTTAAGCATTCCGTCCTTAGAAAGTACCGTTGTGGATGTGTGTGTTGTTTATTCTTGTTGTGGGACAGGGCATGCAGCTTTTGCTGTGACTGAGCTTCCTTCCAGCCTTTTTTAGTTCATCATGTGGATGGTAGCATAACGCAAAGAGGTGCCCAACACACACAAACACTGCAGGAACTCACACCCTCTTGACTGTTGTCTGCAAGGGCCACATCTGATTCCGCCCCACATGGATGCAGGAGGTTGCAGTGGCCTGAGTGTGTGTGTATGTGTGTGTGTGTTAAGGATGAATTTTAAGGTTGTTGTTATCCGCCCCAAGGGAGAGTGTAGCAACAGTAATCACCACGCCTCCATGAGCGAAAGCCACCGGTGGTCCTGGCTAATTATCTGATTCTATAACGTGGGAGTGTGTGTCTGGGAGACGGCGAGCCCCGCCGTCCCTCCAGAGCTATGGCTCATCCAGATGGGGCTATGTTGATAATGTCGCGTTATTAGCTGCTGCAGCCGCACGCTCGTCTGTGTTCTCTGCAGGACCTCCTCTTCGTCGTGTTTTTCTCTCTTTTATTGTGTGTGTGGCACGGGGACTCATTAGCTCACTTCCTGGAGGTCCTGATCATTAATTTCCCATGATGCCTCGGTGCTCCTTTGCGGCTAATTTTCCCCTGGTGAGCTTGTGCTCCCTCAGCAAACGTGGAGCGGACCACAGAGGAGCACCCCACTCTGCAGGGGGCTCTCTGTTAGTCATTTTGATTGATCCTATTGGTTCAGACAATTTCTTACAAATCTTTCCAGAGGGCCAGAGGTTGATCATTCTTTGTGAAAATTAATTTTGCCATCCCCTCTTCCTCTGAAAAACCTTTTCAACCCTCAATTTGGGAGAGTCTTGAGAGCGTAGCAGTTAAAATATTCACTATCCCTGCAGCTAACTCTTCAGTTGCGTGGTATAAATTGACCAGATTCGCCCCTTGACTTGGATTAGTTCGAAAAGGAAAGTGATCTCATTAACCTAACGGGAGAGCCATCCGAAACCTAAAATTATGATACTTGAAAAAAGACATGTTGTTTGCAGAGCTAATAAATTTAGCATGTATTAATTGTTCTTTTAACAAGCAGGAAAATGAATCTTAGCTCTAACTTTACACCCCAATTTCATCTCCCTTAAGCTGTCTTTCTCATTTTTCTCCCCTTTGATGTTTGTTTCATGTGCCGTCTGTCTATTCATCACTATCAGCAGTCTTTCCAAAATGTGTTCCTTCTGTCGCTATTCATCATCCATCCTCATCTTCACACTCATTGATCGTCTCATAGCTGGTCAAATGTGTTGGTGTTCTTTTCCCCCCTATTTCCCTGTGCACAGTGTGCTTTGGCGCACATTCTCTGGTGTCCCACAGAGAAACTATATATATGCAGAATTATGATTAAATTCCCAAAGTTAAAATGTTGTCAAAGTTTGTGAGTCCTGTTGGATTTTTCCATATTTATGCATAAATATCATTGAACTGCAATGTGTAGATAAGGAGTGGGGTTTGCTTGGTGTAGCTGATCATGTGTTGTTAACACCAGCTTCAAGGAATTATGAGTCATTCTTCTGAACATCTGTTTGAAATGTAAGTGGGTTTCTACACAAAGATCGCTCTTGAGAAATATCCATATTTTTTTTCTGGATTGAATTCAGGGCTTAATTCAACTATTCCGAAACACAAACTTAATTCTTCATGATCTGAAAGGATGATGTGTGTTATTGGTAGTTATTGACAGGTGTCACATTTTCTCTTGGGACTTACAGCAATAATTCAGGTTTATGTCCACTTAGAAAAAAGAATGTTTACTGGAATGTCTAAAGTCATTTTAGGCCTTTAGGGAATCTAAGGGGTTCACAGACTTTCAAGTACCGCTGTAACTTACAGAGCCCCTTAAGCCCTGGGATGTTTTTCTAACCTTTGACCTGAAAAAGCATAAATTTACTCTGTATGAGCTCCACGATGACCTCAGGCTCTATGGATGTAAGACACTGGGGAGAATTCTGCAACATAACGATTCCCCTTGTTTTAACCTGGCCAGAGGGGGGTTGAAAACTTCACTAAAAATGTGCATTTTTGCTTCTGCCTAATTACAACAGAATGTAAAATAGCCATGTTAGTCCAGACTCCAGATCAAAAACATACAACCGGAAAATCGGTACATTCTATAGGCTCCAACTACAAAGAGTGCCACATTTTTATTTGTCATTCATATCATTTTTACGTTTTGCATGATGCAGAGCTGTAATAAAGTCATATGTTGAGAGTATTAACAGTTACAAAATCAATCGGGTGGGAAGTAATGGGGACTGGACTTGAGCTGTAAATAAGATGGCACCAGAGAGTACTGATGAATCAGTAATATGAATTTTAAGACTTTTCAGGTAATTCTTTATATTGTGGCTAAAATGTTTGTGGCAATAGAGGCTAAGCACAACAAATTCGGCTCCCAAAATAGTCAAAGCCATACAGAGCGGCCCCCTCAGTGGACACACCATGGCATGTGGTAATGAAAAACGGAGGTACTTATGTTTTTAGGTCAAATACAACCAAATCCAATCCAGTGATTTCCAAATAAGAAGGTAGAGAACACATTACAAGTATTTCTTCAGTTTCTATAAAGAAGATTAATGTGTATCTGGAAGAGGAATGCTCCAGTAAATTTTTGCAACTTCGAATTCAGCCACTTTTTCCACCATGACAGTTTTTCCTGAAAATATTTTTAAAAGCATTTCAAGTGGCACATGGAAAGTTGTCACATAAAACGTTTCCCCTGAGCTGAAAACATAGAAGAGAAGCATGTAAAAGTAATTTAAGTCATGTAAAATAGTTTGTGCGGCTCCATAGCATATAGCAAGATTACTTCTTAATTCAAATATGCTCATGATTGTTCAAGTAAATGTCAACTGTGTCAACAAGCACAATTTTCTTTATTTTACAGGCATTCACCAATATTTTATCCTTGCTTTTTTAACTGCTGTGAAACACTTTTGAGTATCATTTTTATTGTAGCTAGCTTAATAAATAAGCTTTTCTTTGACAGAATCAACATCATTTGAAATATTGCAAGGTCATGGGAGAGATGTAAAGTAGAATCCATAATGACAAAAGAAGTCTCGACTTGAGTGTAGCAAGAACATACCAAAAAAAAAAAAAGATGGTGATGATGTAGCTTTTCTTTGGTGCAACGAGTCCAAATTTTTTCTTCATTTTTGTTGTCAAAAAGGGTTCCAAACTAAGTTAGGAGGAGCTATTTAGTGCCGGGGTGATGAGATTTGTTGTCTAAAAACCAATTCATGGCTTGGCTCCATAGCATTTGTTTGATCTCACTTTCACCGATATAACTGATTAATCCACATTTGTGTTCTTTTCTCAGCTTTAAACCCGACAAGATGTTTTTGTGGTTATGTCACGTCAGTGTTTCTCAGAAATATTCCAGAGGCTATCTGAAGGCTGACGTCTCTATACTTGTATGCTTGCTTTTTCTCTTCCTCACCAGGACTGACTCTGTGCTTCATCTCTTTTATTATGACAGAATCAAGAGAGTCTGTACCCTCTTGATTCGGTCATCTCTGGAACACACTAGCAGTAATCTAAATGTGTAACCAATTACTCTACACACACACACACACACACACACCAGTCTTGCTTTTTGGTAAACATGTGGCCCGAATACACTCTTCTTCCTCGCTCAGTCTTACTCACATAGTAGTCTTGCCATTT